GTGTGCTTGCGCTGGTCCCCGTGTCCTACCCCGTCTCTGCATGGGAGGCGCCCTCTCCTCTGCCCGGTGAGGCCCTGAGGCTGCAGCGGACAAGATGTCCGCGTGAGGTCGAGGGGCTCGCCGCGGGACCACGCCGCCGCGCTGCTGGGAGTCAGAGTGGATGCGCCGGCGGCCCGGCGGGCACGGGGTCAGCGGTCTAACGCACGAGACGGGCACTTGACCCAGGTGAGCCGCCGCTGGCTCGGGCAGCTGATGGGCAGCCAGCGCTTTCCGGACACCTACCGCGTCGCCCCTCGCTCACCCGCGTGGGTGACGTCAAGCTAAATGGAGCACAAACAAGGAGACGTGACTTCCGCCTCCTGACTTCGTTTTGCTTTTCAAGGAGGAATGACGGATTCCTCTTCAGGAGAAAGGCCTTAGGCGGCCCCCGGCTTCCTTTCCACCCTCGGTTCCTGCTCCGCGGAAGATCGTTCTGCGGGTGACAGTTTTTGTTTTTTAATAGAAAGTTGTTTTTTATGGTGTGTGGTTTTTTTAAAATATGTTTTTATTGATTTCAGAGAGGAAGGGAGAGAGAGAGAGAGAGAGAGAGAGAGAGAGAGAAACATCAATAATGAGAGAGAACCGTGGACCGGCTGCCTCCTGCACGCCCCCCACTGGGGACGGAGCCACAACCCGGGCACGTGCCCTGAGCGGGAATCGAACCCTGACCTCCTGGTTCATAGGTCGATGCTCGACCACGGAGCCACCCGGCCGGGCCCTCATGATTTATTTTTGCTTTTCAAGGAAGAATGACCAATTATTCCTCTTGGAGAGAAGAGCCTTAGGTGGCCCCTGGTTTCCTTTCGAGCCTCGACTCCTGCTTCGCGGAAGATCGTTCTGCGGTTGACGGTTTTTCTCTCCGCGTCATTTTCCTGCCCATAAAGCGCCGGAAACGATCAGCCAGAGTTTTAAATGGATGGCAGGCGGCTTCGCTTGCTTCTAATACGAATCTGTCATGTTGTCACGTTTCTGATGGATAAGATATTTTTTAAAAAAAGTTATCTCACTCTTCCAGGAGCTGGGAGGGCTGGAAAGGATAAATCCAGAGACGGGAGTGTGGGATGGACGGACGGATCTCAGGAGAAAGGGGGGGTGGGGGGGGAGGTTCACCGGGAACTTGTATGTACGTGTGAATAGCCCAGGGACCCAGGCAATAGTGTGGCGAAGGCCTGGGAGGGGCGGGGCGAGGGGAGGGGGTCAATGGAGAAAAAAGGGGAGGCATCATAGTACGTTTAACAATAAAGATAAATTAAAAAACAAAGCAAAACATTAGGCCCGGCCGGCGTGGCTCAGTCGTTGAGTGTCGAACTATGAACTAAAAGGTCCCGGGTTCGATTCCCGGTCAGAGCACAGGCCCGGGTTGTAGGCTCGATGCCCAGTGGGGGGTGTGCAGGAGGTGGCCGATCCACAATTCTCTCTCATCATGGATGTCTCTCTCTCTCTCTCCCTTCCTCTCTGCAATCAATAAAAATATATTTTTTTTAAAAGCAAAGCAAATTGTTACTTTCCCAAGGTGCCTTGGGATTTGGGGAGCACCGGGATGCATGTGGGGCCATAGTTCAGGGCCTGGTGTCTCCCCGTGCAAGCAGCCTTCTAGGGATTAGAGGTGACCAGTGACTGATGTCGTTTGTCAGAAAGACAGGGTGCTGCTCCCCACCTGAGAGGAGCCTGGAGAGAGAGCCCTCTGTTTTACGGCTGCGTAGTATTCCGTGGTGTAAATGCACCACAGCTTTTAAGATTTATGTATGTATTTTATTGATTTTACAGGGAGGGAGGGAGAGGGATAGAGAGTCAGAAACATCAATGAGAGAAAAACATCGATCAGCTGCTTCCTGCACTGGGGACCAAGCCCACAACCGAGATACATGCCCTTGACCAGACTCGAACCCGGGACCCTCAGTCACAGGCCGACGCTCTCTGCACCGAGCCACACGGGCCAGGGCGGCGCCCACGGCTCTTTTATCCGCTCGTCTGCTGAGGGGCCCTGGGGCTGGTTCCGGGTCTGAGCTGTTGTGAACTGTGCGGCTACGGACACAGGGGTGCACCCCTTCCTTCTGATGGGGTTTCGGGGTTTCTTAGGACATATTCCTGGAAGTGGGCTCCCTGGGTTCCACGTTTAATTTCTCCAGGGAACGCCTTTTGCAGAAGAAAGGGAGCGGTCGGTCAAGGTTGCTCGGCTACCACCTTCCCCGGTCTCCTGCCGCGGAAGCTGTGAACGGAGATTGTGTGGTCATTTCCTCGTTAATTAATTCACTCGCGGGACGGGGTGCACCTTTTATGGGTTGCTTGGTAGACGGAGTCGGCCTGCCTTACATCGACTCCTTCCCCAGTGGTGTCGAGGAAAGAGCGATCTAATTACCTAAACGTTGCAAAACAGATTAAAAAAACCTTTTTTTTCTGCTGCGACAGAGATTCTTCCCGCTTGCTCCTCGGACGTAAATAATAGATGGGAACAGGGTGAGGACGGCGCTCGCGTGCTTACCCGAGGTTCGTCAGGGTTTCTCGTGCAAAAATCCAATTTTTCTCTCTGCAAATGAGAGAGCCGGGCGCCTAATCCATCGTCCTGGGCCCCTCGCGACTCCCGTGCAACTGCGGTTTTTAATACGTGCGAATCGTCTGTAAGAAGCGAACACCGTCCTCGGTTTCCCGGGGGACGCGGGAGCCCGGCTGCTCTGTGAGAACCGTCGTGCTGTGTCCCGATGGACAAACCCCCGTGCGTCGCGGGAGACGCTGAGTGTCCTTCCGTCTGGCCTCGAGCTAGAGAGGCGTCCACCGGCCCGGAATGCGCGTGGGGGCAGGTTTCTTCAAACGTGACACCACGCCGTCCAGTAATGGTCTGATTTACGTTGAGTTCGAGTGACCTGTTACCGGATTCCAGGCCAGGAGGAAGGGGGAAACTGAGGCAGGAATGTCAGGACATGGCCAAACGGTGTATAGTGCTGTCTCCCCCGGCCAAGGGCACTGGGAGAGCAAAGAGTTAAAGACCAACCACCTTAAGGAGAGAATGCAGGGAGGGAGGGGGGTGATGGAGGGGAGGGGAGGGGAGGGCACTTTTACTCCCGAAGCAGAGAAGCCAGCATCTCGGGCTCGACAAGATGTATAGGTTTGCTTGTTTTTTTTTCTCAACGAAGGTGCACGCTTTCATCGCTTTAATAAATTAGCTTTCCACAGCGCAGTGCAGGTCTCTCGTATACATTCATTCATTTGAGAAGACGAGGGTCCAGGTTGGGGAGCCTCTCCCACTAGCTCAGGGGGCTGCCCTGTCCGGGGACACCGCTCTGGTGTCGGTGGGAGGCGCCGTAACAAACCCCTTCCCTTCGCCCTCTGGCCGAGATGCAGGGAGGTGAGTGTGGTCCGAGCATCTGTGTCCGCCCATCGGGTCCTGAAACCGGACAGGCGAGGGTCCCGCCCAGCCGGTCACTCCGTGAGCCCACTCAGCAGAGACAGGGTTGAATCCTGTCTGAGCGTCGATTCCAGTAATGCCAGCAGCCGGTGTGGTGTGGCTGGTGTGGCTCGGTAGTTAGAGCGTCCGCCTGCGCACCGCAGGGTCTCGGCTTCGACTCCTGGTCCAGGGCACCTAGCTGGGTTGCAGGTTCGATCCCTGGCCCCCAGTCAGGGTGTGTACAGGGGACGTCCGATCGACGGGACTCTCTCACATCAGTGTTTCTCTCTCTCTCCCTCCCTCCCTTCCTTCCACTCTCTGTAAAATCAATGGAAAAAATATCCTTGGGGAGGATTAACAAACAAACAAAAAAGAAAAGAAATAAAAATGTGAAAGGATATTAGGTGAAAATGCAGGAGCTATGAATGAAATATGGACTTGGGTTAATGAGGTGTCCATACGGGCCCATTCGTGGTAACAAGTGTAAGATACGAATACACGGAAGATGTGAATCATCACAAAAACTGTACCGAGTTCTGTAAGTCTGACACTGCCCTTACATTTAAGATGATTAAGAAAATAAACAACAAGACATGGAAACTACATTTACAGTTGGTTGAATTGGGCAGTGAAGTATCTCCTCATTTTTCCTCGAGCACTTTCCGCAGTCATCCTAGAAACGGGAATATTCACGGAGAATCTCACGGGTGCTTCAGAAAGACACATTTATAATTCGTGGACAGGCTATTTGTCCTAACATTCCTAAGCCGTCTGGCAACCTTTCAGAAGGGATGAAAGTTAAAAAACGAGCCGCACGTATGGAAGTAGACCCGTGAGGCAAGGCTGTGGGCCCCAGGGCACCCCGGCTCTCCGTGTAACTTGGGGCGCCGCTTACGCGTTGAGGGTGTTATCTTGACGTGGTGACAGGTGAAGACGGGTCTCCACGCGCCGTGTGCTAATACGGGCGCTGTTCCCCAGGGAACGTCCTAGCTCGGCCTTCGCTCTGGTGCTCAACATCAGTCCTTACAGCCGTTCCCTTCCCCCCTCGTCGTGGAATCTCCGAGAAATCCATCCACCTGGCGGCCGAGGCGCTTATGCCAGACACCTGTCGCTGTCGCCCTTGAGGGCGAAACCCGGGCGCGGCCCGTCCCAGGAGTCTCTGGTGGACGGACGGCGTTCTCCGGCACACCCGTGCCTCGTCCCTCCGTGATTTTCTGAACGTGGTCCAGAAGCGCTTGAGTTCCTTTCAGGCGAACTGAGAAGCAAACCCGTGTGCGTTCGGGGCAGAGTGGGAAGCGTGGCCTCCCTACGGGCCTACGCGCTCCTGGGACGGCCGTCCCCGGGGGACCGGCCTATACTCTTGTTTTGTGCTGTCCTCCTTCATGCCTGATGAGTTTGGCTGTGGATTAGACCACGTGTGTGTGTGTGTGAGAGAGAGAGGGAGAGAGAGAGAGAGAGAGAGAGAGAGAGAGAGAGGGAGGGGGGTGCATGGTGCCTCCAGGTAGCTGGCACCCCCAAGGCTGAGGCCTGTGCCCCCCGGGATCAGAGCAGGTGCCCAACCCTAATTATCTCCTCGATCATGATCGAGTCTGTCACCTGGAATCGGGACTGCGTCCTGGTGTGCAGAGATGGGAGAGGAGCGGGGATGGGGGAGCAGGCCTGCAGGCCGTTACTATAGCGACCAGGATGCAGACTCCTCTGTCACAGCCGCAAACAGAAGTGCTTTCAGACCAGGGACAAAGGGAAGGTAAAGCAGGACTGTTTCCATAGCAACAGGGGGACCATCTCCCGCTATGGGTAGATGACGCCGCCCCCCCCCCATTATAATGTTGATATCCGTTCGTTATTTTACTTATTTAAGTATAATTTTATTGATTTCAGAGAGAGGAAGGGAGAGGGGGAGAGAGACAGAAACATCAACGATGAGAGAGGATCATCCGCCAGCTGCCTCCTGCACGCCCCCTGCTGGAGATGGAGCCCGCAACCTGGGCATGTGCCCCCGACTGGGATTGGACCCGGGACCCTTCGGTCCGCAGGCCGACGCGCTATCCACTGAGCTTTACAAGCCAGGGCCGGCCCATAACTTTGAGGAGTAGAAATACAGAAACCTCCTGAACTGAGGGCTTGGAGCATGAGACGCAGAAACACAGTCAAACCTCAGTTCTCGAGCGTCTCCCACCGCCAGCAGTTAGGTTCTCGGCCAAGTTGCTCGTGGAAAGAAATGTCCCCGGTTTTTCGAACGAAACCTCAGTTCTCCACCTGACACCCCTTCCAGGCTGATGCATCGCCTGGCACAGAGCCCCTCTGGGGTCCCAAGCAAAGGAGAGGGTGGGAGCGAGGTCACCGCTGAGCCTTGGGGTGTCCCTAGCTCAGGCCAGGGGTCATGGCTGCGCAGAATGAGATCCCGCACGCGCGGAGGGAAGTCTGCCTGGGGTTGCAATGCTGCACAGCAGAGAGCTGACAAGCAGGAGAGCGGTGTGCCTCAGGGGTTCCCAGCGTGGGGCACACGCCCCCGGGGGGCAGTCTGATGTTTAAGGGGGGCCATTCGAGAATGTGTCATTCACAGTGACTGTTTTGCATTTCTTAGGGCTCTAGGGGCCGCGTAGACAGTCTGTGCATATATATGGTGACGTGTTTATGCCTCTCGGTTCTCTGTTATATGTTTGGAACTTTATTGGCTGTTCTTTCATCTCCCTTCACATTATTATTATTTTTTAAACAATTCCTTAGTGAGTCCTTCCTCAGTCCGTCCACTGTCCTCTGTCCTTTTGTTTTTCTCTCTCGTGGACGCCATGTTCTTTGGCAGCTTGTTTAGACCGAGTTCATGGCCTCTGAGGCTTCCTCCACGTGAACAGGAGCTCACTTTGTGAGTAAGAAGAATTCTGTGTCTCCGAGGGGGTGGGGGAGGGGCACCAGGCTGTTGGAGGTGCTCGGGGGGCGTGGCCGGAACAGGCGGGAAGCACAGGTGTCGCTGAGGTAGCCACGGCGTGGCCTGCTGGGGTGCCTGCTGGAGGGGGAGATGGGGGAGCGGAGGCCCGTCAGGGTGTTCACGCTCAGTGTGCGAGGACGCGTGCCCTCCCTCACGCCCCCGTTTATTCAGCCGCTACCGCCACGCACCTTCCCGCACTTTCCCTCCAACCCCCGAATGTGCAGGTTTGACCAGGCCCCCTTCTTGGGGAGCCCGGGGAACCCCAGTGCTTTTCCCCCACCCTGTAGGCAGCTCCCACACCAGCCCTCCGTCCGGGCTTCTTCCTGTTTCACATCCGAGTCCGCGGGAAATCCCACTCACGGGATGGCCGTAGAAGCTTCTGGAATCCAGAAGAACCACATTCTGGAGGGAGGGGCAGCTTCCTTTCCATTTTATTTTTTGTTGTTCATCCTCAACCGAGGCTATTTTTTCCATTGATTTTTTAGAGAGAGTGGGAGGGAGGGAGAAATGGGGGGGGGGAGGAGAGGGAGAGAGAGAGAGAGGAACATCGATGTGTGAGAGACGCATCCATCGGTTGCCTCCCGCAAGCACTCCCGACTGGGGATTGGACCTGCAGCCCAGGCAGTGCCTCGGCCGGGACCCTTTGGTGCGAAGGCCGATGTTCTGACCACGGAGCCACCGGCCGGGCACCTTCTTTATTCGCGGGCGCTGTGTTCCAGGAGCAGAAGCCCATATGCTCCTCCCCCCGTCCCCCCTCCCCGGGCCGAGGACAGGAGCGTGTGGGATAGAGCCCCACGCTTCTGGCTGGAGTCCACCAAAGAGAACTTAAAAGATTTTTAAAAAGTGCTGGGTAGGCTGCCGAAAGGACAGTGGTCAAGAAAATGACCCCTAAAACATTACTGTAGCCCTAGCCAGTTCGGTCGGGGCTCATGCAGGAGGCGACCAATCAATATTTCTGCCTTTTCCCTCTCTTTCTCTCTCTCTAAGAAATCAATGGAAAAATATCCTTGGGTGAGGATTAACCAAAAAGAAAAGAAAAGAAAAGAAACAAAAAGAAGAGAAAATGACCCCATAAAAAATGATTCTATGGTCCAGCTGGTGTGGCCCAATGGTTGAGCGTTGACCTATGAACCAGGAGGTCACGGTTATATTACCGGTCAGGGCACATGCCCGGGTTGCGGGTTTGATCCCCAGTAGGAGGCGTGCGGGAGGCAGCGATCCATGATTCTCTCTCATCGTGGATGTTTCTCTCTCCCTCTCCCTCTCCCTTCCTCTCTGAAATCAAGAAAAAAGTATATGAATTTTTTTAAAAAGAGGAAACCCACTAACGGAACCACCGCCCCTCCCCTCGCTCTGTTGCAGGAGTACCAGATCGACATATTTTTTGCGCAGACCTGGACGGACAGCCGCCTCCGCTTCAACAGCACCATGAAGATCCTGACCCTCAACAGCAACATGGTGGGGCTCATCTGGATCCCCGACACCATCTTCCGCAACTCCAAGACGGCCGAGGCCCACTGGATCACCACCCCCAACCAGCTGCTGCGCATCTGGAACGACGGCAAGATCCTCTACACGCTGAGGCGAGACGCCGGGAGGGGGCCCTGGCGGTGGGGGACCCGGGTCCCTATTTTAATAAAACATCATCCTTAAAAAAATAAAAGAAAGGCACGCACATTGTAGGCCATGAATGAAGCGCGTTCTTCATCAGAATGCGTTTCTGCTGGAAGTGGGCCGTGGAAATGAGCGTTAATCTATTTAACCCGCGGGTCCACTTAGCCGGGAACGGGAAGATGTCTTGGCGCACTAATTAACACATGTAATTAGAGCAAATTAACAAACTCGAGACCACAAGGCGGGGGTGGGGGTGGGGGTGAAACAGCCGGAGGGCGTTCCCCGACGCATCCCTCCTGGAAACCTGGCTGCCCCGCCACGCGAGCTCCCGGGGGCCGGGTGGGGCCCCCCAGAAACCTGGTTGCGGGCGAGAGAAGCCGGCGTCAGAGAAGTCTGGTCGGACGCACGCTGCAACCTGCCCCAGCCATGCCCGCACCTGAGCCAGCCTTCCTGCTCCCCGGGCATGAGGAGGGGACGGGACCTGCCCCTCCCTGAACCCCAGGCCTCACCCTGCTCTCCCAGACTCCCCCTCACACCTTCGCTGCACCTGCTGCCTCTCTCTCTCTCTCTCTTTTTCTCTCTCTCTTTTTGGTCAGTGCTCACCGAGGATATTTCTCCCAAAGATATTTTCCCATTGTTTTTTAAAGGGAGTGAAAGGAAGAGGGAGAGAGAGAGAGAGAGAGAGAGAGAGAGAAACATCGATGTGAGAGAGACACATTGGTTAGTTACCTCCTGCATGGGGCTGCGGAACCTGCAACCGAAGCTCATGCCTGTGACCAGGAATCAAACTCGTGTCCCTCTGACCAGCTCTCTAACCACCCAGCCAGGGCTCTTTGTTTTATTTCTTCAGAGAGAGGAAGGGAGAGGGAGAAATGTCAGTGATGAGAGAGAATCATGGATGGGCTGCCTCCTGCACGCCCCCTACTGGGGATCAAGCCCGCAATCCAGGCCCGTGCCCTGATCAGAAATTGAACCGTGACCTCCTGGTTCATAGGTGGACGCCCAACCACTGAGCCACAGGGTCCGGGCAATAAAAACATTTTTTAAAAAAAGCAATACAAAATGACACTACACCGCCCTCTCTGGTTGGGCTCAGTAGATAGAGCGTCGGCCTGCAGACTGAAGGGTCCCGGGTTCGATTCCCGTCAAGGGCACAGGCCCGGGTTGCAGGCTCGATCCCCAGTAGGGGGTGTGCAGGGGGCAGCCGATCCATGATTCTCTCCCATCATTGATGTCTCTCTCTCGCTCTCTCTCCCTTCCTCTCTGAAATCAATAAAAATATATATATTTTAAAAAAGCAATACAAAATGACACACCCCCAGGACAACCCCATGATGCCACTGAATGGATGGTGCCACCACCTGGAGCAAGTCACAGGTGCTGCCTGCCCCTCCCCTGCCCTCCGGCCCCGCCCTGTCCCCCCCCCACCACACACACTGTGACTTTGCTGGGTTCTGGCTGGCTGACCTTGACCGTGACCTTGGCTCCCCGCAGGCTCACCATCAATGCCGAGTGCCAGCTGCAGCTGCACCACTTCCCCATGGACGAGCACTCCTGCCCGCTGATCTTCTCCAGCTGTGAGTACCCCCCGGGCCCGGAGCCCGCGAAGGAACGCCTCCCCGTCTGAGCGTCTGGCGACGGTCACGTGATGCGTCACAGCGTCACCGTGCAGCCAGACAGAGCAGACGACTGTCTGGTTTTGGCCACTGGGGTGTCTCCGCCCCAGACTTCATTCCATTGGACCCCCCGTCGCAAAATAGGTGCCTCGGCGCAGCCGTGTGCAACGTAACCTTTCCTCAGAGTAGTGACGGGTTTGGACGTGGGTGGGCAGTTTTGTTCTGTTTTGTTTTGACCAAACACCCTTATGCCAATGGGCTGTTTTGCATGTTATTTGGAATTACACACAACTCATGTCCTCTCCGGCCGCCGCGGCCCGGCCCCTGTGCGTGGTCACCGATCCGGAGGCTGTCCCAGAACCTGGTCCTGTGGGTGTTCTGAGGAGGGTTCCGAGGTAGACACGGCTGACTGAACCCCTGGCCTTCGCACCCGGCTGGCTTGGCCTGTGGACTAAAGGGTCCCGGGTTCGAGTCCCGGTCAGGGCACATGCCCGGGTTATGGGCTCCATCCCCAGTGTGGGGCGTGCAGGAGGCAGCCGATCCATGATTCTCTCTTTGATGTTCCTCTCTCTCCCCCCTCCCTTCCTCTCTGAAATCAATAAAAAAAAATATTTTAAAAAATTGAAAAGAAAAGGGTTTCCTGGCCAAAAAATAATAATTAAAAAAAAATCGTTGGCCTTTGGTGGCTGGTTCAACCTCCAGCCCCTTTCTTCTCTCCGGGGGTCACGGGGATGGAACTCAAGTCCCGACCTTCCCCTCGCCGGCCTGGTTCCCTTGGCAACCAGCCCCCATCCCTGCTCTCTTTCCCAAAGCTCCCTCCTTCGCATAACAAAAGGCTTTGATGCCGGCCCTGGTCACAACCCAGGGTTTTCAGGGCTCTGCGCCAGAAAAGGGACAAAGGCCAAATATATGGTTTTAATTATATATCATTAGCCTCCGAGCGGGAGCGAGCAGAGCTGGTAATTACCAGAGGGCAGTGTGGCTCCATTGTGCTGGGCCAGGAAGCCCGGGGCGCGTGGGGGTCCGGCGTGGACAGGGATGTGTCCGTCTCGGCTGGTGTCTCTGGTCAGCTGCCTTCTCCTCGGGCCCCGCCTCTCAGATCTGCGCTGGGAGAGAACTGGTGATGGACCCTGCGAGGGGGCTGTCTCCCGCCCACGGGGAAGGGTCCTACTCAACAATGAAAGACAAATCTGGCCCGGCCGGCGTGGCTCCGTGGCTGAGCGTTGACCTATGAACCAGGAGGTCTCGCCTCCATTCCCGGTCAGGGCACAGGCCCGGGTTGCGGGCTCGATCCCCAGTGTGGGGCGTGCAGGAGGCGGCCGATCCATGATTCTCTCTCATCATGGATGTTTCTCTCTCTCAATCCCTCTCCCTTCCTCTCTGAAATCAATAAAAGTATTTTTTAAAAAAGAAAGTATGCTAGACGCGGAATTTTCTGGTTGTACCGTAAATAATAATTCAGGTTCGACTTCTGGGAACAATTAATTGGAAAACAAAATGTTCTTTGCTCGGGAGCTGGGAGTTTTGTGGGGAGCGGCCAGAGCTGACCTCCTAGCAGTTCTGTCTGTGATTCTCACTCTCCTGGTGAGACACTCCGACATAAACCCCATCTCCCACTGGGCTTCCCCATTCAGCTCTTCGTTCCTCTGAAATGCAGCTTTTAGCCCGGCCGGCGTGGCTCCGTGGTTGAGCATCGACCTATGAACCAGGAGGTCACGGTTTGATTCCCGTCAGGACACATTCCCTGGGTTTCAGACTCCATCTCCAGTGTGGGGTGTGCAGGAGGCAGCCGGTCCATGATTCTCTCTCATCATGGATGTTTCTATCTCTCTCTTCCTCTCTCTTTCTGAAATCAATAAAAAAAATATTAAAACAAACAAATAAAAACCATGCCGGGGTAAAAAGTATATTTCTTCTTTTTTAAAATATATTTTATTGATTTTTTACAGAGAGGAAGGGAGAGGGATAGAGAGTTAGAAACATCGATGAGAGAGAAACATCGATCAGCTGCCTCCTGCACACGCCCTAACTGGGGATGTGCCCGCAACCAAGGTACATGCCCTTGACCGGAATCGAACCCGGGACCCTTCAGTCTGCAGGCCGACGCTCTATCCACTGAGCCAAACCGGTCAGGGCTCTTCTTCTTTTTTTTTTTTTAACACGAGGAAGTGTCCCTCTAACTCTTTCATTTTATTTTATTTTCATTATTATTTTTTATTGATTTCAGAGAGGAAGGAAGCGAGGGAGGGAGAGAGAGAAACATGAATGATGAGAGAGAATCATGGATCGGCTGCCACCTGTACGCCCCCTATGAATCCAGCCCAGGAATCCAGGCCGGGACCCTTCAGTCTTCAGGCTGACGCGCTATCCACTGAGCCCAACCAGCTAGGGCCACCCAGGCATGGTTTTGTATCGTGCGTTGGGTCCTTGGAAAATATTGGTTCGCAGACTTACGCCGATCACCCAGATGTTTCCCAGTAACTCTGAGACAATGTTGGTTAATATTTTCACCCACCTCACTCGAACAGTATGCCGAGAATTCGGAGATGATTAAGCTCATGAGGGTGACACACGCTTTCTAAAATGTTAATTTCCACCTGAAATAGCAAATGTTAGTCTTGGCCACAGATACACACTGTCAGTAATTTCCTAGGAGTGACAGATCTCATTCACTTCCAAGAAAATGCCTACCCAACACCCAAGTATGAAAATCACCGTCATTTGCCAGTTATTCGTAAAAATGCTATTTTCCTGAGAAAAGTTTTGCCCTTCAGCACCCTGGATGCAAGGTTGATTGTGGAAGAAGATTTTTAGATTCTTTCTAAATCCTTTCTGGGAGCCGCTCTGTTGCAGGGACTTTCTCCCCAGCTCTAGGAAATGCTGTTCCCCGAAAATCAAGGTCAGTGGAAATGGGAGAGGGAGTGCGGAGAGAAGGGGGGGTGGGAACAAAGCCACAGCCGATCCTCAGGGGCCACAGAAGCAGCACGCCCTCAGGGTGCCCGGCTGAGCTCGCGGGTTTGCCTCGAGATCGAGCTTCTTATCTCGTGACCCCTGCAGGGTTCCCCGAAGTCCAGACGGGAAAACAGTGTGTGATGAACGGCACACTGGCGACCATCTAAAGAATCTGAGCCCTGGCCGGTGGTGATCAGTGGTTAGTGTCGGCCCGTGCATCAAAGGGTCGTGGGTTCGATTCCGATCAAAGGCACGTTACCTGGGTTGCAGGTTCGATCCCCGGCCCTTGTTGGGGTGCGTGCAGGAGGCAACCCATCGGTGTGTCTGTCACATCGATGCTTTTCTCTCTCTCTCTCTCTCTCTCTACCCCCTCCATCCTTTGCACTCTCTCTAAAAAGCAATGGAGCCCTGGCCTGGTAGCTCAGGTGGTTAGAATTATCGTCCCCGATACCCCAAGGTGGTGGGTTCGATCCCTGGTCAAGGCCCATGCAAGGATCAACCAAGGAATGCATAAGTGGGTAGAACAACAGTCTTTCTAAAAAATCAATAAAATAAAAAAAGCAATGGAAAAAATATCCTCGGGTAAGGATTCACTAAAAAAAAAGAATGAGGGAAAAAGAAAAGTACTGCATAAAAAAGTATTTCTTCCACCTCAAACTCGTGTCAGGGGTCATGACATGCAATCCCCAGGCGAAGGCTTTTGTTTTTCTCTCTCATTTTTTGTTTTTTTACATATTTTTATTGGTTTCAGAGAGGAAGGGAGAGTGAGAGAGAGATAGAAACATCAGTGATGAGAGAGAATCATGGATCAGCTGCCTCCTGTACGCTCCCTACTAGGGATGGAGCCCACAACCCGGGCATGTGCCCTGACCGGGAATCGAACCTGTGACCTCCTGGTTCATAGGTCGACACTCAACCACCGAGCCACGCCGGCCGGGCAAGAGCTGCCTGGTTTAAAATGCTTCATAATCAAAAATAAAAGTATCTGTTGTCACCGTTAGACCTCCCACTGGGCCTTGTTTTTAACTTTTATTTTTTGGGGGGTGTGGTTTGTTCAGTTATAATCAGATTTTACTATTTTTCTACCGCGGCCTGTAATTAAAACTTAATGAGGAGAGATATATTTTATTTAGTTATTTATGTTTGCAAATCATCAAAGTCAATACAAAACAAAAGCCAGGATAAACAATGCAATTACATGCCAGCTCCGGGGCACTGTAATAATATAAACTCGCCTTTGAAACCGAGGAAACGAACATTGGGGATCTGTTCCCATGATTAAAGATGTAATAAAACAGCTCTGCCGGCGTGGCTCCGAGGTTGAACGTCACCAGGAGGTCACTGTTTGGTGTCCGGGTCGGGGCACGTGCCCGGGGTTGTGGGCTCGATCCCCAGTGTGGGGCGTGCAGGAGGCAGCCGACCCATGATTCTCTCTCATCATGGATGTTTCTCTCTCTCCCTTCCTTTCTCTCTCTAAAAAAAAAAAATCAATAAAAAAACATATTTAAAAAAAATAGGTCTGCAATTCCCCGGTGGTGAATGGAACAGCAATCTCTTTTAGCCGAGGGAAGAAGATGAACGTAAATTCCTTTCGGGAAAGAGGAATCTTACCCTTTGGCTACGATGACATCCTTTCTTATAGTTGGTGGTAAGGATGTTGGTGGGAGCTGAGAACAAGAGTGCGGTGCGAGCACCGTGGACAGTTCACGGTGCCTGCTGTCCCAGGCTGGTTGCCTGTGGCTGCCCCAGGCAGGCCATCGGGGCAACTTGTGTCTGCGGGTTCCACTCCCCTTCCGTTCTCTCCTGCCAGCCGGCGTCTTTGCGAGGAAAAGGGAAAGAACCCGAGGGAAATGATCTGTTTTGCAAATCTCAGCTCGATAAAGCCCATGACCGTGAATGTATTGTCTCACAGATACGTTCTTCAATCTATTTGTATTGACTTCAGAGAGAGGGAGGCAGGGAGGGGGGAGAGGAGAAAGAGAGAGAGAGGGAGAGAGAGAGAGAGAGAA